CTCTGTCACTTTAGATGCACAGTCCCAGATGGGGGGGTGATCAGGTTTGCCACTGGAATGCCCTTTTCCCTTATCTAGCCTGGCGGGTATAAGACTACTCACTTCTCCTGTGAGGTTGTTGGGTTGATAGCTGCCTTTAGGCATTCTGCTGAGATGACTCCTTCCCTGCTGCATAGGTGGTCCTCAATCAGGAGACTCCTGAGGTTGAGTGACCCTCCTTTCCAGCAACTCTGTCTGGTCCCACTGGGCCCCCTCCCAGGCTCCTGCATCTCAGCCTCTCACTTCATCACCTTCCACCCGAGCTCTCCTCTTGCTGAGCAGGACTTAAGGTCTATCCTGACCCCATGCCAAGCCTCTTGCCTGGGGATTGGTCAGGATCCCTTAAGTATGCAGACCAGCCCCTCCTCATCCCCACCCATATAGACTATAGACTTCTCCAAGTCGCTAGATCAGGGTGAAGTATCAGGGAACTGATCTGAAGAGCCCTCAGCCCTGACCCAAATTTGACCCTGCAGACTCATGCCCAGGCTGCTATTCAGCCTTTCTATCTAAAAAAAAAAAAAATAGTTCCCCTGGCTATCTAGAGGGATGCTACAGGTGATTGGTAATGCAGTTAACAGAGGAGGTTGTACAACACAACTTCAGGAAGTAGACTTCTACTGATGTTCTACTGTATTATGGGGCAGAAAGTATGGAAAAATCTTTCTAAAGAGGACAGGGACAGAAATTCTAAACCCCCTCCCCAGTCTTTAAAAAAAAAAAAAAAAATCCTGTGCTAGAATTATTCTTTAAACCAAAATCCAGGTGTGGTAATGGCTACAAATATTCCACTCTACAAACTTTTATACTAATGGTGGACAAGAGGCTGGAAACCCGAGTGGACCTTCTATTCACCATAGGTGGTCCACTTTGTTTGCCAGTCTCTTGCCCACCAAAACAAATGGCTTTGTAAACAAACTAGCCTTCCTCCCTGCCAAACGTACATACCTCAGCTTCAGCCTCTGAAGCTTCCAGAACGAAAGGGTGGCATCACCCAGACTCCCTGCAGAGCTGGGAGATCACTATCCCATGAAAATGCACTCCAGCCCATTGCAAGTCCATTCATGTGTAATATTATGCACCCAACTCTGCTAGAAGGAACAGTAAAATCCCCTGTGTTCCCTGGAGGAATCAGAAAGGGTTAGCAGGTACAGTCTGCTTTATCCACTGTAGGTGGCACTCGACAGGGGTGGTACTGCAGTTGGAGAGGAAGTCAGGAGAAACCTGGTTTCTCTCTCAGTTTCTGGTCCCCTGAGGTAGTGTTCCTGTTGGCTATGCTGCATTCAAATGACTTCTGGTGTCCATTTTGGGTCAGCAGAGCGCCCCCAGGTTCTAGTGCGCTTTTTCAAAGTGGATAGCATAGGGAAAAAGCCCCCTTCGGTCAACGAAAGTGATAGTAGCAGACAGAGGTTCCAGACGAATAGGGAAAGGCTAGGGACACGCCATCCTGCATCGGAAGCCTTCCCACTGGGACCAGCTAGGCTGCATTCCACCCTTTGAGACAGATGCTGTAGGTGCATCCAAACCTCCTGTATCTGCAAGTTGCACAATACCGTGAGTGTTTCCTTATGTGGTGCTTTCCCACTAGGCTGTCTGTAAAGTTGGGACTTTCCTTTGAAACAATTCTTGTTATCTGCATCCTGAGTCTGTGTAATTACTGCCGTTGCACCCTGCTGCACCTACCCAAACATGGACAGAAATAACTATCTAGTAGGGCTTCTAGTCTTCCCCTACTGTACTAAAAATACTTTTTTTTATTTTTGTCTGTGTTGCCGTTGGGGAGTTCCCCTCACTTTAAGTCTAGTAAAACATTGTCAAAAGAACAGGAAATGAGGGAGTCCCTGAAAGCAGAAAAATCCACCAGGGGTTCTCACCCTAGCCCACTCTATCCAAAATAAGATTTGGCTGTAATGTGAGAATTTTGAGATAGCCTTACTTTTTTCCTTTTTTATAATTAGGTAATTTGACCCCCAGCTGAACTACTGTAGTCCCTTACAGATTTAGCCTACTCATATTGGCACTTTGTGTTTAACGTACCTGTATCACTGTATTGTTTGGAGGTGCTGAAAGTCAGTTGGATGTCTGTTATAGACTATGCTTGGACTAGACTTCAACGTATCATTACACCCAAATGTGATATTTTAGTATACTGTAGGTGAAATATGGTGACCTAAGTCAGCCCCAGCTTCTTATGTGTCTTGCTGTATATTCCAACAATGGGTCCTCCTTTTCATAATTCCTAATAGTGTTCCCGTCCACCTGAGAGTTTTGGTGGTTACCACCATCTTTATGTGTTCCAGCTCCTGTTTTTGTTTTCTTTAGTATGTGATGTCCATAAAATAAAATAGTACAATAATGCATCAGGAATGGTGGGAGCCCCTCATGATGGCCCTAGCAGCTGTGTAGACCTGGATAGTCAGTGCAAGATCTCTCCAATAAAGTACCCAAGAACAAAAAAAGGAGTTAGGTGGTTTAAAGAAGACCTGAAGTGTGGAAGCTGTGTCCAGAAGAAAAATAAGAAGAGGGCAGAGGGTAAAGGATGAGTGGTTGGTATTACCTGTAGGCCTCCCACAGCTGATCCTTACCCCATTACTGATTTACCATGCCTTGTTCTGCACTTTGTTTTTGTGTGGAGATGGCTATCTTTGTAGAGGAGCAGGGCTTTACTTCTTCATCTCAGAGTTGTGACTGGTAGGCAATCTTCAAGAAGCAGCAGGAGAGATGGTGTAAGCAGAGGTTCAAGGAATGAATGAAGAAGAAGCAGGGAGGTCTTTGCACTGTATGACCTCATGTGCAACTTCATTTCCAGCAAGGAGGACAATGATCAGCACAGTAGTGACATCACCAAATCTGGTAACAGTCAGAGGCAGCACTGTCTTAGTTGATCTCAAACTGAAGATATACAGCTACAAGACTGCAGAATAGGAGTGCCTGGGCACAGGAGATGCTTTGCTATTTTTGAGAAGGAATTCAAGACATAAGGTACGCTTTTTAGGTATTGCTCAAGCAAAGTTACTATTTCTAGATATTCATTGTAAGAAAACAAATCTTTTCTTTTTGTGTTCAGAGGCAACTCCAGAAAGACTTCTCTTCTAGTTTTGAATAGGGTTGGGTAGGGTTGGACCCCCTATAATTTTTTTGTTGCTGTCTGTAACTTCATTGGGAAGACTCCAGGGAAAGCAAATATAAGCTGATTAAACTTCAGTTTCAAGAGGTCATATTGCAAACAGTGGACATCACAAATGATTGGAACACGTGTTTCTGTTTGGATTGCAGCATTTTTGGTAGCTGGCAAAATGTTCCAGTACTGTTGTGGTCTGATACTGTATATATCCCTTATTTGTATTGTCTGCCAATGGTAAAACATTCAGTGGCTTTGGCTAAATCTGCTTGAATGTTTTCAATTGCAGGCATGCAGCCAAGGCACTTCAGCCCTAGAGAAGGATGCCATTTTCTTGGCTCCACTCCACTTGACCACTGCCCGTCAACAAAGTAATCTGCCTGTAATTGCTATGAACTGATTTCTGTTTGCGATTCATGACATCGCCAGGCTTGCTGAGAAGTGGAGTTCCAAGGCAGGGAAGAGGTTATCTACACACTTTGTCCGATCAATAGGGAACAGCACTATTTATCCCTGTGTATTTATTAGCCTGAGGCCCTGTCACATTCAATCTGAGCAGATCGATAGCAACTCATTGTGGGTTAATTATAATCACTAAATAAACGCACAAGTCTCAAAGTTCAGCCAGGTTCTGCAACGTTTCAAGAAAAACTTCACAAAGCTCAGCCAGGAAAGTTTCATTGATCTGTCCAGAGCAGGTGGGAGTTTGAACCTCTCCACGGTGATTGTACCCTTTTCAAATTATGCTCTTATCTCCAGTTTTGCCTATCTAATAATGTATGTCATTTAAGATAAAAAGTTCAACCAATTGAGTGGGAAGGCATGAAGCTATTTTTCTCTTGAATGCATTGAGTGTATTGCTTCAATGGAATATCAGACCGCAAAAACCCATGAATGAGCGGGTGCAAACCTCACTGTAGTCTCAAGATGTCCCCGCTCTATCCAAAACTGGAAAAAAGCTTTGTCTTAAAGTGTATTTCCACTTTTGCAGTCAAATTGGGATAGCACCTACTTTATATTTGTTACATGTCCCCATTAACATATAGTAGCATGAATTAAAAAAAATGTAAAAATTTCAGCTTACATTTTTTAGATTCTGTTCTAGAACTTTCAGCAAGGAAAAATTCTTCTTAGTTCTCTGTTATGAGGGGGGCTGAGAAGCAGTGTTTGCTGTAATGAAATATCATCTCAACAGTTGAACTAGATTTGCACATTGGTAACAAAAGTCCTTGCTGCAATTTTCTCCTTCCTTGATTATCTTCTGCTGCCCACACAGCCGGTGTAGTGGTCCAGGCATCTGAAAAATGTATCACACAAGTTCGAAGCTATGTAGTATCATGGTGGTGAGCGGGCATTGGTCAGCGCCAACACATGACTGTACATGACTGTACTGACCAATAAGAACCACTCAGCATCCTCCCAGAGTCTAGAAAGAAAGAATGACATAGAAGAACACGGCTTTCAATTGCCTGGATAGTTACATCAGCTAGCATGGACAGTGAAATATAACCATCCAAGGAGGTAAGTGCAGTGGGGACAAAGGTTGTGTCAGGGCTCCAGGGTATCACCAGAGGTATGTGAACTGACGCAGGGAAATGCAGGCTTCAGATATGTTATAAACAATATAATTTATTAACACTAACAATACATAAACGCAGTGCAATACTAAAACATAACACAGTGCAAACGAACCAAACCAAACCACCCACAGATAACAATACATACAATGCAAGCGTCGTCAGGCAGGCCGGGTCAATAACAATCGGGCAGGTAGGAACAGGAGGAGCAGGCAGAGAGTAGTCAGGTCACGAGCCGGGTACAGCAACTAACGGGCAGGTAGGTACAGGGGGTCAGGCAGAGAGTGGTCGGGGTCACAAGCCAGGGATCAAACAGGAGAAGTCAGCAGAGGTCCGGATCAGGCAGGGTCAGCAACGAATCAGTCAGACAGGAACAGGAACAGGAACAGGGGCCCATAGAAAAGCACACACCAAGGCACAGACTGCAGGTCTGGCCATCCCTTAAATACACCTCTGTAATCAGCTTCAGGTGTTTGGCTGGCTGCAGGGTTGAGTCTCTGATTGCTGAGAGCACCCGCTGGCCAGCCTCAGTACTGCAGCCCACAAGGCAGGTGAGTTCCACCATTACTGGCAAGTCCATTCCTGACAGGTTGTGTATAGGGTGTTGTGAATTAGTTCACCTTTGGTCTCCGAACTGTAGTCCAGGGGCCAGATCCAGACAACTCTTGCTCTTGTCCAGCAGCTGGGGAGCTCTTCCTCCCACTGACACCAACAATGGAGCATAAGGCCTCTCACTAACCCCAACAATAAGGCACTATTCCTCCCACTGATATCAATGATGGGGCATGATTCAACCCCATTGACACCAATGATGGGGCACTATTCCACCCATTGACACCAATGATGGAGCACTATTCTTCCCACTGACACCAACAATGGGGCACAAGTCTATCCACTGGCAGCAACAATGGGGTACTATTCCTCCCACTGATACCAATGATGGGGCACAATTCAGGCCATTGACACCAAAGATGTGGCACTATTCAACCCATTGACACTATGATGTGACACTATGCGTCCCACTGACAGCAAAGATGGAGCACTATCCCTCCCATTAATACCAATGATGGGTATCAGTGGGAGGAATAGTGCCCCAATAGTTCAACCCATTGACACCAACAATGGGGAACTATTCCCCCCACTGCCACCAATGATGGGGCACTATTCCTCCCCCCACATACCAAAAATGGGGCATTGTTTACTCCCACTGATGCCAGGACATTTTCTTCTCCCACTGGTCACATTAAAGGCTGAAGGACAGTAAATTGGTCCTTTGTTTGGAAAGTTTGGAGACCCCCTACTTTAAAGTCTTTTCCCATTGTATGTTAAAAGAATTGGACTCAGAAAGTCCCCAGCTATTGGGACAGATTACACTGAGCTAATTGAAAAATTCTTGCAGTCAACCATGACACTTTCTCCTCAGCTGTGTATGCTGTGTGAATAGGAACAGATAACAAACATAGTGGGGTTTTCTCAAATTTGACAGAAAAAGTGGAATACACTTTAAGATACACTTGAAAGTGAAAGTGCTGTATTTTAAAGTAATTTCAAGAACTGCCTAAGGTTGCCCATATATTGGTAGAATTTTTTTTGAAACAAATCTATTTGGGAACTTTTGTTCAATTTCTTTCACTGGTAATTGGGTGAAATCAACTAGCATTTTTTGACCATAGTAATGAAAAAAAATCGAAGGAGGATGGACATTTTTTTTCAAATGAACAAAACTTTTTAACAGTAAATTAAATAAATATTGTAATGCGCATGTGCATCCTGAACTCAAACCTAGACTTCAACACGTTGGCATGGCAATCAAACCAACATTTTCAGGGTTTTTGTCGAGTTCATAATTGTAATATCGAATGCTCTGATGAACACTTTTCCTGAGTTTCCACACAAATGAAATTCTGCTGGTGTATGACCAGGGCCGGACTGACAACTCATGGGGCCCCCGGGCAATAGGGGATCATGGGGCCCCTGTGTCCTTGCCCAAACTCACAAAAAGCTTATGAAAAAGGTACCAGGGGCATCTCATGGGGCCCCCTACTGACCCCGGGCCCTCGGGCAGTGCCCGAGTTTCCAAATGGTCAGTCCGTCCCTGTGTATGACCATGTTAAGAATTGATACTATTAGATACCTGTGTTGCCTTTATTAGCCAGAAGATCTTTTTTGTGCACCTCTCTGATTGGGTTTCCCTTTGTTACAAGAGCCTGACTTCCTATGACTGTGGTCCAAACTGCCTTTTCAGTATTCAAAGAGGCTGCCTTTTTGGCCAGGAAAGGTATTAACTGAAAAAGGAAATGGCAGCTTGATGATACACCCCCAAAGGCTCTTGACACTCACAGGAAGTGGATTGAATGATGCTGGACATTATTTAACTGGCACCGCATTGCAGAGTATTAAGTCTGTAGGGGAGCAGATCCAGAGATAGGGTGAGTACTGCAGAAATGATAATGGAATGTGTCTATTCAAAACTATTTAGTACAACTGCAGAGAGGCTACAGACAGCTGTTGTTCTCACCCAGAGCCCCACCTGCTGGATACACATGGTAAATATAAAATATTTGCAAGTGAAATTCCATATTTATCTAAATAAAAGGACATTTAACAAAAAAAGAAATATTTTTTTTTTTTATTACCAATCATCATAAATAACAAAGAAAACACATCAATTATCTAGTTTCTCTTTAACTTAAGTAAACATAGCTCTGGCGCCATTCAGAATATTCAGAGTCTGTTCGGTGATATGAGATAAAAAGGACACCATGGGAAGTGGTTATCTAAAGTCTCTGGTGACAAGTCGGTTACAAGAGTTTATCATACCACTCCGAATCAGATAAACAATACAGCTTTCAATTAGTATGAGATTATGACAAGGAGAAGACAAGGACAAAAGTGCCTGAACTGTAAGGGTGCCGGCCCCTAAAACTGATTTGTTTCAATTACAAAAGTATACAATATTCGAATAAAAGGCCCAAAAGTAGCAAATAACTAAAGGAAAAAAAGTGTTTGATAACTAAATAGTTTTTTTATGTACTTTAAAGAGATAAGGAGATTAATATATATATATATATATATATATATATATATATATATATATATATATAGTTAGGTCCATATATATTTAGACACAGGCACAAAAGTCTGTTTTTTTCAGGTATTTACCAAAACATATTCAAGCTATAGTTATATAATGGGCTGAAAGTGCACATCTCAGGTTTAATTCGAGGGTATGTACATCCAAATTGGAGAAAGGGTTTAGGAAATACAGCTCTTAAGAGTGGCCACCCCCCCCCCTTTTTTCAAAGGACCAAAAGTAACTGGACAGTTGAATCAAAAGCTGTTTCATGGCCAGGTGTGGGCTACTCCTTCGTTATTTCTTCATCAATTAAGCAAGTAAAAAGTGGTATTTGCATTTGGAATCTATTACTGTGAACTTACATCGTGCGTTCAAAGGAGCTGTCCTTGCAAATGAAACAGGCCACTGTAAGGCTTCAAAAATTAAACAAGTCCATCAGAGAGATAGCAGCAACATAAGGAGTGGCCAAATCAACAGTTTAGCACATTCTGAGGAAAGAAGAATGCACTGTGAGCTCAGCAAAATAAAAAGGCATGGACGTCCATGGAAGACAACAATGGTGGATGATCGCAGGATCCTCTCTATGGTAGAGAAAAATCCATTCACAACATCCAGACAAGTGAAGGACACTCTTCAGGAGGTGGGCGTATCAAGTCTACAATCAAGACAAGACTTCACGAGAGCAAATACAGAGGGTTCACCTCAAGGTGCAAACCATTCTTAAGCCTGAAGAATAAAAAAGCCAGATTAGACTTTGCCACAAAACATTTAGAAAAGCCAGACCAGTTCTGGAAAAGCATTCTTTGGACGGATGAAACTAAGATTAATCTGTACCAGAATGATAGGAAGAAAAAGTGTGAAGAAGGCTTGGAACAGCTTATGATCCAAAGCACACAACATCATCTGTAAAACATGGTGGAGGCAGTGTGATGGCATGGGCATGCATGGCTTCCAGTGGCACTGGGTGATTGGTGTTTATTGATGATGTGAGAGAAGACAGAAGCAGCTGGATGAATTCTGCAGTGTTTACAGATATACTGTCAGCCCAGATTCAGCCAAATGCAGCAAAGTTGATTGGACGGTGCTTCACAGTACAGATGGACAACAATTCAAAACACACTGCAAAAGCAACCCAGGAGCTTTTGAAGCAAAAGAAGTGGAATATTCTGCAATGGCCAAGTCAATCACCTGATCTCAACCAGTTGAGCATGCATTTCACTTGCTGAAGGCAAAACTAAAGGCAGAAAGACCCACAAACAAAGAACAACTGAAGACAGCTGCAGTTAGAGCCTGGCAAAGCATCAGAAAGGAGGAAGCCCAGTCTTTGGTAATGTCCATGGGTTCCAGACTTCAGGCAGTCATTGCCAGTAAAGGATTTTCAACAAAATATTAAAAATGAACACCTGTGTGTAATTTAATCTCAGTATAAATACAACTGTTCTGTGAAGCCCTCAGAGGTTTGTTAGAGAACATCATAAAGGTCAACACACCAGACAGGTCAGGGATAAAATTGTGGAGAGGTTTAAAGCAGGGTTAGGTTATAAAAAATATCTCAAGCTTTGAACATTTCATGGAGCACTGTTCAATCCACCATCCGAAAATGGATGAATGCTATAGGGTTCATTTACTGAAGGCAAATAGACTGTGCACTTTGCAAAGTGCAGTTGCTCCGGAGCTTAGTAAATGAGCAGAAGCTCTGATGAGTTCCATCATCCAATCACATGCAAGCCAAAATGGTGTTTTTTTATTTTCTCTGCACATGATTGGGTATTCTTTGCAAAGTGAAGCTGTACCTCATTTAATAAACTCTGGAGCAACTGCACTTGCAGAGTGCAACTGCACTTTGCAAAGTGCAAGTTCTATTTGCCTATAGTAAATTAACCACTATGTATAGTGGAAAACTAACACTGCACATCTCCCTGAACACACCATCCCCACCATGAAACATGGTGGTGGCAGTATCATGTTGTAAGGATACTTTTCTTCAGCAGGGACAGGGAAGCTGGTCAGAGTTGATGGGAAGATGGATGGAGTCAAATAGAGGGCAATCTTAGAAGAAAACCTGTTAGAGTCTGCAAATGACTTGAGACTGGGGCGGAAGTTCACCTTCCAGCAGGACAATGACCCTAAACATACAGCCAGAGCCAGGGGCGGATTGACCATTTGGAAACTCGGGCACTACCCGAGGGCCTGGGGTCAGTAGGGGGCCCCATGAGATGCCCCTGGTACCTATTTCATAGGTTTTTTTTAGTTCGGTCAAGGACATAGGGGCCCCATGATCCCCTATTGCCCGGGGGCCCCATGAGTTGTCAGTCCGCCCCTGGCCAGAGCTATAATGGAATGGTTTAGATCAAAGAATATTCATGTGTTAGAATGGCCCAGTCACAGTCCAGACCTAAATCCAATTGAGAAACTGTGGCAAGAAAATTGCTGATCACAGACACTCTCCATCCAATCTGACAGAGCTTGAGCTATTTTGCAAAGAAGAATGGGCATTAATGTCCCTCTCTA